AGTAATATAATTAAAAAGAGTGATTCAAAAATCATAATTTTAAACTAAAATAGCATGAGTATCAAAACTGAAATATTTTTTGGCATGATTTTCGAATGAATGTAAAATATACCAATATATACATAGCTATGTAAGCATTAATATTATTATATTTTGCGAAATTTAATTAATTTACATTATTTGAAAATTTAGGAAGCTCGATAACTAATCTATACCAAGACGGTTCAAAAATTGGGTGTCAACAACTGTCCCTCATTTTACTTGGGTTGATGCAAGCAATTCAAGGAAAATGAGACTGACCAAACCAATTTTGACCAATTCCATTCATTTTAAAGGATTCAACAAAGGGTTTAAGAATCATGGCCGAACCCTTGCAAACGGGTTTCCTACATATCTCAGGCTATATGAGAATTCTGGCCACTTGTAGTTCGATAAGCTTGATTTACTGCATGATTTGAAGAAATCAAAAGCCACCTCGATACCGAATTATGAAAGTATTGAAACACTCGAGAATAGAATTCGAGAGCGAATGTTGGAATACAGCCGAGTTTTCAACATTGAATCCGCCTACATATCCTTAGACCTTCGGAATCAGGCTGTGTGTAGTTCGACTCAATCGATGGAAAAGAAAACCTATTATGCTAGATAACCTTCGGTTTTGGACAAGTGACCAGTTAAACGAGTATGAAAAAGAAGCTTGTAACCTCTTAACCATGAATGTGGAGCGCTTCACACCCATAATTAAGAACTTACACGGACATAATTTCCAAAGCTCTTGGCGAGTTGTCACTCAGATTGGAAACTTGCTTCTGATAAATCGAAACTTCTGGATGCGAGACTGGAACTGACAAAACTTAAAGAAAACCCGCATGCCTCGAGAGGAATGGTTCGATCGTGGTGGAAGTCGCTCCTCTCCTCGCGTCCTAAGAGATTGACATTCCTCTTCGGACTGTGTCCCAGTTCGCTGCTAAGAAAAGTTTCACTTTGTGCTGCATCCTTTTGATGTCGTCCGCACCTGTGGTTTTGGAGAATTCATCCTTTTGGATGCTCTCGACAAAGACTGAGATAAAACTCGTCAGCTTAAAAATGAAATCAGGATGGGAGACAGTGTCTTTTTACCATGTCGACACCTCAATGTTCTCGTCAATGTTCGACGTTGACTCGATCGGTCTGACGTCCAACAATTAAAGCTTATGCCTTGTGCTTTTCAATATAAGCCTCAATGTACTCTATACTTGATGTCGCAATAAATAAATAAATGTTGATGCGATATTGATGTCTCTTTTGTCGTCATCTTTGATGCTTTCTTGATGTTTGTTTTTTATCAAAAATAAAAGATGCAGTTGAGGCCGATGGATAAATGTTGTTCTTGGGATACACAATTTCCCTTTCTTTATCCGTGTATGTCCTCTTGCGGGGCATGAATATCTTCCCGCGATACGTAAATTCCCGCGAGGTATGAATCTTCTCGCGATGCATAACTTTCAGCGAGGCATGAAATCTTATCGCGATGTGCAAAATTTCAACGAGGTATAAAATCTTCTCGCGATGCATAAATTTTGACGAGGCATGAAATCTTCTCGTCGTGCATAATTGTTGGCGAGGTATGAACTCTTCTCGCGATGTCCAAATTTCAGCGAGGCATAAAATTTTCTCGCGATGTATAAATTTTGACGAGGCATGAATCCTTCTCGTCGTGCATAATTGTTGACTCGCAATGCATGATTTTTTCGCGATGCATGATTTTCAACGAGGCATGGATACTTCTCGTGATGCACAAACTCCAGCGAGGTATAAATTCTTCTCGCGATGTCTAAATTTCAGCGAGGCATGAAATCTTCTCGCGATGTATAAATTTTGACGAGGCATGAAATCTTCTCGTCGCACATAATTGTTAACTCGCAATGCATGACTTTTCCGCGATGCATGATTTCCGTGATGCATGATTCTTTAGTGTATGAATTTTGCGATGCATGATTCTTCCGTGTATGAATTCCGCGATGCATGATTCTTCCGTGTATGAATTCCGTGATGCATGATTCTTCCGTGTATGAGTTCCGCGATGCATGGTTCTTCAACAGTATATGACTTCCGCAATGCATGATTTTTCAGCAACACATGATTCTCCACGATGCATGAATATTTATATCATCTGTGTTGATAATAACGGCAAAACGACCTCCAAATAATATACTGACTTGATCGATAATAACAAATAATAATAAAATAACTATCTCTTCTGGGGTAATGCATTGTCTTGATTGACAATAATTATCTTGTTTTGATAATGTAATGTGAATAGCGTCCTCTACAGAAATCGTGAAATCCTCGTTGAGATTCCTGTTTGATTCACCTTTGAATCTGGCCGGACACTTTGTAAATTTCGCATTGTTGATACTTGTTTGAAATAAAAAAACACATTCACAAGCATCTTGACACAGACTGTATGAATTGCCTCCTGCTTTCAGTAAAATTACTGGTTTCAGACATGGTTTTCTCCTCTTTGGGAGCTCTCCGTATTCATACATCGGGAGAATTTGGCCGATTTCAAATCAAAGCTACAAACCAGCATCCACAGAAAAATTGTCATTTTTAAGACATACTGATCTGTGTCGATTCCTTCGGTTGTTTGCTCCTTGTCTTGATATCTCCGGTTGATTTCCCGATTTCCCGACTCTTGATAGATAAGAAAGTATTTTATGCCGAAACAAATGAAACATAAAAGGGAAATTTGAAGAGAAACAAGAAATTTTAAGAAATAGTATCTTGAAAAAGTCATTGCCAAGTCATGTCATGTCAGGCTTAACGAGCTCCCTTGAATCCAACACTCACTAATGAGTTTCAGAGGCACTCTGTACTTGTAGGGAAGACCCGTAACGAAATTTTGAGGCCATCCTCAAAATTTCTGTCCCAGTTTACTATCTTGCTCGTCTTTCTACTGTAACCGAACAGATCGCGGGATTTTTGAGATCTTCTCAGAAATTCTGTCCTAGTCGCAAATCTCGAAATGTCTTTTGTCTGACTTGCTGAAGAGGAGGCTTCTTCTGGAGAATTTTTGAGTCTCTCTCAAAAATTCTGTCCCTGCCCTTGTGGCGCCTACGTATCCCGTTGAGGCAGGAATCAGGTCAAACGTAGTTCCCCTTAAAGGTTAACAAGAACAAAATTTACAAAGAAATCGACCGAGGACGACATAGGCCGCCTACGTATCTCATTCTTGAGAATTCAGGTCGAACATAGTTCAGATATAAAGAAATAATTAAAGGGGGTAAATGGGGTGACCGAAGCCGACATAGGCCGCCTACGTATCTCGTTCTCAAGAATTCAGGTCAAACGTAGTTCGTTACACGAGGGGTAGTAACTCAAACTGAACAAATACAATCAAACAGAACGATTACAAGTAAATAACAGAAAAATGCAAAAATGAAACTTCATGCATATTATCTCTTGACAGTATCTGAGTTGATAGGCTTGGGCCATACAGTGCCATCCATCTCCGTCAAAACCAAAGCACCTCCAGATAGTACTTTATGAAACATGTAAGGACCCTGCCAGTTTGGTGTAAACTTTCCTTTGTACTCGTCTTGATGAGGAAAAATGCTCTTAAGATTCAACTTACCAACTTCAAAATTTCTGGCTCTTACTCTTTTGTGAAAAGCGCGAGTCATTCTTTGTCTATACAACTGGCCATGGCAAACGACGAGCATTCTCTTCTCATCAATCAAAGATAGTTGAACAATCCGTTTACTGATCCATTAGGCGTTACTTAATTCAGCTTCTTGGATGATCCTCAACGACGGTATCTCGACTACAACAGGTACGACTGCTTCTGTTCCGTATACTAGCGAATATGGAGTAGCCCCAGTCGATGTTCTGACCGTCGTTCGATAACCTAGTAGAGCATATGGCAACATTTCATGCCAACCTCGTTGTTTGTCAATCATTTTCCTCAAAATCTTCTTGATGTTCTTGTTGGCGGCCTCTACAGCTCCGTTCATTTGAGGGCGATAAGCAGTTGACCTTCGATGAATAATCTTAAATTGTTCACATATGTCTTTCATCAAATGACTATTGAGATTTGCACCGTTATCGGTAATGATGGATTCGGGAACTCCAAATCTGCATATCAGATTGTTGCGGACAAAATCGGCTACCACTTTTTGTGGTTACCGACTTGTAAGAGGCTGCTTGCACCCACTTGGTGAAATAATCAATGGCAACCAAAATGAACCTGTGTCCATTAGAAGCGGCTGGCTCTATAGGACCGATGACATCCATTCTCCAAGCTACAAATGGCCAAGGTGAACTCATAACATTAAGTTCGTGAGGTGGCACCCGTATCAGATCGCCGTGCACTTGACATTTGTGGCATTTTTGCACGAATTTACAACAGTCATTCTCCATAGTCATCCAGAAATAACCGGCTCGAAGAACCTTTCTCGCCAAAGTAAGCCCATTCATGTGTGTACCGCAAACTCCAGCATGTATCTGTTCGATAAGCCTCACAGCTTCAGCAGCATCCACACATCTCAAAAGACCCAGGTCTGGAGTCCTACTATACAAGACTTCTCCATTTAGGAAGAAATTGAGAGTCATACGACGTATCGATTTCTTCTGATTAGATGTAGCGTCTTCTGGATATGTCCCAGACTCCAAGTACCTCTTTATGTCAAAATACCAGGGCAAACCATCTGGTTCCGATTCGACATGTGAACAATGGACTGGATGCTCCTTCAAGTCTATATACAGCGGGTCGATGTAATCAGTATCCGGATGTTTGATCATAGAAGCGATAGTGGCTAGAGCATCATCCAATTCATTTTGTATTCTTGGAGTATGCCTGAACTCGATCTTGCAAAACCTTTTACACAGATTTTGCACATACTGTATGTAAGGTACAATTTTTGGGTTCTTCACAGCCCATTCTCCATGAACCTGATGAATCAAAAGGTCTGAATCTCCAATAACCAGTAACTCGTAGACATTCATGTCAATGGCCATTTTCAAACCAAGAATACAACTTCGTATTCGGCCATGTTGTTTGTGCAGTTGAATCGCAGTTTAGCTGCCATAGGATAGTGCTGACCAGATTCTGATACCAAGACTGCTCCAACACCTTTACCTTGGTGATTCGCCGCTCCTTCAAAGAATAATCTCCAACCTGGATACGCTTCAAAAATATCTTCACCCACAAATGACACTTCTTCATCGTGAAAATATGTCTTGAGAGGTTCATACTCTTCGTCAATGGGATTTTCCGCAAGATAATCAGCCAAAACTTGTGCTTTTATTGCATTCTGATTCACGTACACGATATCAAACTCACCCAACAGCATTTGCCATTTAGCTAACTTCTCGGTCGACATCGCTTTCTGGAAAATGTACTTCAACGGGTCCATTCTGGAAATCAGATATGTGGTATACGATGACAAGTAGTGTCTCAGCTTCTGGGCAAGCCACGTCAGAGCACATCATGTTCTCTCCAGCAAAGTGTACCGAGACTCGTACGGAGTAAATTTCTTGCTTATGTAGTAGATAGCCTTTTCCTTCATTCCTGTCTCGTCGTGCTGACCAAGTACACATCCAAAGGCACTATCTGAAACAGACAAATACAGTATCAAAGAACTCTCTTCTCGCGGAGGAACCAATACTGGCAGGTTAGACAAATAGCTCTTGATAGCGTCGAAAGCGGTCTAGCACTCCTTAGTCCACTTAGTCGGGTCTTTCTTCAGCAACTTGAAAATAGGCTCACATACCACTATTGATTGTGCTATAAACCCGCTGATATAGTTTAACCTCCCCAAGAAACTCATCACCTCTTTTCTCATTTTCGGCAGAGGTAACTCTTGAATCGCTTTAATCTTGGAAGGGTCGAGCTCAATAACTCTTCTGCTGACTATAAACCCCAACAACTTCCCTGCTGAGACTCCAAAAGCACATTTGGCGGGATTTAGCTTCAAGTTGTACCGACGCAAACGTTCAAAGAATTTTCTTAGTTGTGTCAAATAATCCGAACTCTCGCGGGATTTGATTATGACGTCGTCCATGTACACTTCAATTTCTTTGTGAATCATGTCATGAAAAATAGTCGTCATACCTCTCATGTAAGTGGCACCGGCGTTCTTGAGGCCGAACGGCATTACCCTGTAGTGATATACCCCCCAAGGTGTGATGAACACCGTTTTTTCTGCGTCTTCTTCATCCATCAAAATTTGGTGATAACCTGCGTAACAATCCACAAACGACTGCATCTCATGTTTGGTGCAGTTGTCAATCAAAATATGGATATTTGGCAACGGAAAATTATCCTTTGGACTAGCCTTGTTGAGATCTCTGTAATCAACACAAATCTTGATTTTTCCATCTTTCTTGGTGACCTGAACGACATTGGCCAACCAGGTTGGATATTGCGTTACTTCTACCAATCGAGACTCTATCTGCTTGGTGATTTCTTCCTTAATCTTCAAATTCAATTCAGGCTTAAATTTCCGAGTCTTTTGTTTCACCGGCTCGAACCCTGGGTTGATAGGTAGCTTATGAGATACGACATCAGTACTCAAACCCTGCATATCACTGACTTCCCAAACAAACACATCACTGTATTCAGTAAGCAAATGAACCAGGCTCTCCTTCTGAGTTTCATTCAGGTGAGTGCTGATCTTAACCTCTTTGACACATTCTGAATCTCCCAAATTCACCGTCTCTTTCTCCTCCAGATTCAATTTATGTTGATTCTCGAACTGCCGAAATTCTTCAGCCACATAATCCGGTTCCCCACTTTATTCGTCGTAGTCGTCAACCTCGTCGTCATCTGCCTCATTTTGCTCATTTAGCTCATGACATGACATGACATTGGCAGGTTTGTAACTTACGTTACTGAAATCATAAACAGAAAAAATTAGGAAAGTAAGATATAACGAGCAATTAAATAAACAACGTCAAAATAAGGAGGCTTTTGTTCAAATCAAAATGCAAACTGGGGTCGTGGCACAGGGCCATGTCGCCCTTTTTAAACATCACAACGAAAATTCAAAATTCAAGCAATTAAAAAATGCAGAAATGGTGGGTCTCGGGCCTCTTCCGGACAACCACCGATTTTAATATGCATAAAATAACTCCTTTCTACCAAAGAGTTCGGGACATCAGGATTGGCGTGGAAGTCTAATTCTGCAGCATCTCCCCTGTTCAGCATCACGTATGCCAGCTGGCTCAGCCTCCTCCTCGATGATGGCATTGATCTCCTTGAAAAGGCCACAAATTCCTTCCCCACAGTCTTCAGGCTCGGCATATTCTCGGATTGGAAAGGACTGATACAGATGCGGGATCGGTTTAGCCAACTGTTGATCCTTTTTCCTCTTTATCTTCACATCATCATCTGTGGGGATGTACCCCAAACCATACTTTGATCTTGTAGCAAGGACCAGAACTGGCTCGATCATCCCCTGGGAATTTCTTCCCAATCCGAAACCTGGTTCGGACCCATTCTGCAGCATTACTGTGGCGATAATTCTGTACACGACCAACATGGGAGTCTGCGGGGCCAAGCCCTCATCGGTGGCATTTACCAACTCCACGGTGTAAAAATCCGAACCTTGCGGCGTCTCGTCAAAGACTGGCACCTACTTGCCTGAGTGGTTTCTTTCGCCATGAATAACTAGCTCCTCATTTTTCCACACCAGTTTCATCATTTGGTGGAGAGTGGAGGGGACAGCTCCAGCCATGTGAATAAATGGCCTTCCCAAAAGAAGGTTATAGCTGGTGTCGATATCCAACACTTGGAACTTTGCCTCGAACTCAGCGGGGCCCATTTGGATGGTCAAGTTCACCGCTCCTAATGTGTCTCTCTGCACACCATCGAACGCTCTTACGTTAACCTAGTTTTGCTCCAACTTTCCGAGGTCAAACCTCAGCTGCTTCAATGTGGACAAGGGGCATATGTTCAAAACAAATCCATTGTCTACCAAAACACGATTGACGACCTTTTCGCGGCATATCATAGTGACGTGTAGAGCTTTGTTTTGGGATCTCCCTTCAGCCGGCAATTCATCATCACAGAAACTGATGCGATGTCCCCGAATGACTTGGTGGATCATGGCAGCTACGTTGTCGCTGCTTGTGCCTGAGGGCACATACGTGTCATCCAGGGCTTTCATCAAAGCCTGTCTGTGGGACTAGGAGCTCATCAGTAGGGACCACACAGAAATCTGGGCTAGAGTCTTCTCCAAGTGCTTGACGATGGAGTAATCTTTAGGCTGCATTCTCCTCCAGAATTCCTCGGCTTCTGCTTCACTTATGGGTCTCTTGGCATGATTTTTCTTTTGTCCTCCGAGAGCAAGCTCATCAGGAGTGTAGCATCTGCCAGATCTAGTCATGCCTTGAGCCACGACCGTTTCTATGACAAACTTGGGTTTGGCGAGAGTCTCCGATGGCACCAAGGCAACAGCCTTCGCAGGTGTCAGAATGACAAACTCTCCTTTTTCCCCGACGCTTAAAGAAAAGACAGCCTTTTCCAAGTCTTCCTGCTCAACAGGAGTAATCCTCTTAGTCTCACGCTCATTGTTGTTGTTTCTATCATGTTGATGTTTCCACCCCCATGATTCGGCAACACATTCGTGTTGACGTTCGGCGCTGCAGGTTGGAGGGAGACCACTTTCTGGTCGATCAAATCCTAGATCTTGTGCTTAAGATTGATACAGTCTTCAGTGTCATGTCCAACACTGTTGGAATAATAAGCACATCTCTGCTCCGGTTTGTAGAATCTGGAGTTAACATCCACGGGCTTGGGCCACACAAGATGGATGTATCCGGCCGCGGATAATCTTTCGAACAACTTGGTTCTGCTTTCAGCCAACGCGGTGAAGCTTCTGGAGGGCTTCTTCTCAAACCTGGGGCGGGAGGGATCATACCCGCTCTATTGAGGGGGAGGGACTTGTTGATGACTGCGAGCATTTGGGTGTGGAGCTTGGCTTCTGGGGTAGGGATTTGTCTGGTAATTTGGCATTGGATCTTGGTAATTTGGGAGGGGGCTTTGATTTGCTGGAGTTTGAATTTGATATGCAGGGGAAGGTGTTCGATAGCTTGGCTGTACATTAGTGCAGCTGGGAGCGACATTCTGGTAAGGTGGAGGAATTTGATAAGCCTGGGGGTAATTTGGGTATATGGAGGAAAAATTTTGGGGAATTGGGGGTGGATTTTGATATGACAAAATATGGGCATCTGGATAAGCGGGGGCAGCATTGTAGTTGTTGGAGGGATGGTATTGTGGGCGATAGGCTTGGTGAGACTTTGGTAGAGGCTTGGAGCGGTCTTGAGGGAGTGGTGAGTTTCTAGGGACTTTTCTTCCCCCATATGAAATGGCAGCAACCTCCTCTCTCTTCTTCCTCACAAGTCCGGAAGATCCAGGCGACGCGGACACTCGGTTATCTTTCCTGACTTCAGGCCATCTTCGATAGTCTCACCCACTTTGACTATCTCGGCGAACTTGGTGCCGATTAACAAGATGATTCTGTCATAGTACTCGGGCTCCTGCACCCGTACGAACACCTCTATATTCTCTTTTTCTGTCATTGGAAGCCTCACCCTCGCTGCCTCTTTCCTCCACCTGTATGCAAATTCCCGATAGCTCTTTGTGGATTTATTCTTCATTTTCTCCAAAGAGTATTGATCAGGGACTATCTCGATGTTGTGCGCGAATCTGTCGATGAAATCTTTAGCCAGTGCTCTCTAATTGGGCCATTGTCGAGTCTCGTGCGACGTTAACCATTCCAGAGCTTCACCGCACAGACTCCGGCTGAACAACCTCATCAGCATAGCTTCATCTTTGCCAACTCCCACGAGTTGGTCACAATACGCTCTTAAATGCACCATGGGGTTGCCCACCCCTCCGAAGGTATCAAACTTCGGGATTTTGAACCCTTCAGGCAAGTTCAAGTCTGGGTGGATGCATAGTTCTGTGTAGCTCAATCCGGTGACGTCTGGGATGCATTGCAATTCTTTCATTGCCCGTTTGATCTTTTCCTTAATGTCGAGGTTCGCTTCTTCCCTCGCCCTCCACTCTATCTCCTGCTCCTAGTAATGGTCCAACTCGGAGCCGTGCACCTCATGCTCAGTCGGGACAGGGACTTGGAATGTGGTTCTTTTGGGGATGGGTGGGGCTATGGAAGGGCTCGGGATGTTCTCTGCGGTTTGATAGTTTTGCGAATAGTTTTGGGGATTGGTATTTTGGGTCAAGTGGGGATGCAGTGTTTGGGGGTTGAAAGCGGTCGGATTTTGGTTCTGATTTTGGGGTGGTGGGGCTGTTTGAGCGTTCTGGGGGTGTGGTGGCATCTGTGGGGGTTTGTTTGGAAGTGGTGAGGGAGTTTGATAAGAGACTGACGCGTATTGGGGGTTTTAGGTTGTCATATCTATCCAGACGGGTTATGCACGAGCGTCAATAGATGGTTCTGAGTTGGATCCACGTTGGATGAGGGGAAGTACATAGGAGGTCTTGCGATAAAATTGGGGCCGAATCCAGGTGGAGGCGTATCCTGTCTTCGCTGCATCTCGAACCTCATGTCAGCTATCTGCTACATCAGCTGCGCAATTAGCTCGTTCTGCTCTTCCATGGTGGGCTGAGCCACCACAACATCTGTGAGGCTGACTTCTTCATTGTTGTCTCCCATGGCTGTATTTGCGTTTGGTCCGGGGAAGGAATCTGCGGGACCTTTTGATCTGGTGAAGTAGGGGTAATCTGCCACTTTTTATCGACACAGATATGTTAAAGGTACCTTAGAGGTGAAACAACTCAAAGGCAAATTTGTTAGTGCATATTCGGAGTACAAAAATGCATAAGATCGCACAGAAAACAGATAAACACACAAGTCGCTTTGTTTGATGATATCTTAACCCACGAATGAGGATGGAAATATATTTTGAACAAACAGGAATTTTTTTGTTTAGCTCTATCTCGGGAAGGCTGAATCACGTTGAGCTATGGTCTTCTTGCCACCGTTTTTCGATGCCCGTTGATCTTATCTTCATATCTTTGTAATACGGAGGAGAATGAAAATTTTCAGCGATAGGGGCCGGGCCAGGAAAGGTTGCCTACGTATCTCACCAGGAGAATTCAGGCCTAACGTAGTTCGAGTTTCAGTACGAAATCTTTTCATTCATTCTTTCATTGCGATTACAGGGGAATTGAAAAACAACATTGGAACTCCTAGAAGAGAACATTTTGGCGATTTCTCTTCTTGTGGCTGCGTCATTCCTTTCCCTTCAAACAGTCGAAAATAGAGGCTTGTAGACGATTTTCTCCTCGTCGTCCTCCTCAATTACTTCGTGGTCGAGGCCACTGTTATCTGCTCCCTGGTCACGGGCGGGGTATTTTCTGCCCTTTGAGTTGTTGCGGGTCGTCAATTCCTCGTCGAGTGCCGCACTTCTGGCCAACAATACGGCATTCTCAATATATGTCTTTGCTTCTCTCGCCTTTCCTTCGCGCACCTCCAAATGAAGCAAGTTCAACCTTTTTCTTAGGCTTTCGGTTTCCATCTCAACCCCCTTCTTTCTTTCTATTTGCGACGCCAGATCTTTATCCAAGGTCGTGACCGTAGCTTTGTAGATTGTCGTGGTCATGTCTACCTTAAGTCCTTCCTCTTTAATCTTCTGAATTTCTCGAGTGACTCGCTCGATCTTTCTTCGCAATTCCTCCTCAGAGAGCTCTGTCTGGACGTTCTTGCCTTTGTCCATAGCGGCGATCCACCTTCCTGAGACGATAGAGCGGTATTTAGGATTTGTGGGAGATGGATTTTTTGCGTGAGAAACTCGAGACTTGGGAATTTTGTTCGGACTTTTGCAATAGTGTCTTCTGTAT